AAAGGCATAGTGAAGAGAAATCTCCAGAAATGTTTGGATAAGAGGGAGAAGTTTATATTTACTGTAATAAGAGCTTTTGAGGCCGTGAAATGCAAGAGAGGTAGAAAGATGAGGCTTCACAAATTGCTGAATTTGAATATTAAGTTTATTCAATAGACAATGGCAAGCCATTAAGGATTTTCAGAGTGTAAAAATATGCTCTAGGAATATTATTTTGGCAACAGATATTGGAGTGCAAATGAGGGAGTGGTGTGAGACTAGAGGCAAGGAGGGCACTTAGGTGACGTCTGTGACCATCCTGGGGAGGGGCTTGGGTACTGTTCTGTCCATGTGGGCTGGCGCTGGCAGAGCTCATATGCTCTAGAGCCTGGAGGGAAGAACCAGCCAATGCTGGTTAATGAACGTGTTCTCAAAGCTGACCTTCAAGTGATTTTGTGGCTGAAAATGACTATCTTTTTTTTTTTTAATGGCAAATGTGGGGAAAACAGGAATGAGCATCATTTTGGATCTACTGAGCTTCATATGCCATGTGAATGTGTCAAGCAATCGATTTGTAATGTTCATAAGAATATTGGGAATTTGTTCCTGGAAGAGAGACTATAGGGGACTGAGCTGATACAGAGACTCCCTTTTCTGTTCCCACTACAGACACATAAATATAACAACTTGTAAAACATATAGCCAAGCTCAGAAAAGAAAAGAAAGTCCTCAGATTTCATCAAAGAAAGTGTGGTAAGGATGCAGGCTGATGCCACTAACACACGGAGGTATCTATTCCAGATATAATCCCTGGTGGCTTGGAAAAGGGATTTTAAAATCTATATGGGAAAAGATAGGTGTTCTTCTAAGACTGGATTTGGAACCGAGTGTTCTTGGAGCCTGGAAGCACTTCCTTGCCAGTGCAAAGTCACTGAAATACGTGCCAGTGTTATGGGTTGTGGATTTATGACATATGAGTATTGTGGAAACCCAAATTGAGAAATGAAGGTAGGCATTTGCCTGGGAACTGGTAAAGTCTGCAAGGCAAGAGAAAAAGGAAATTAAATATCCTTTATAGGAACATTAAAATAACTCAGGACTGTCACTTCAGGACCTTCTACAGAAACTGAAATCACCATGAAAAGGCACTAATGGTAAAAATTACAGGCCACATGAGGAAACAAACTATCCTAAGAAAAATAAGCAGAAGAAAAAGAAAAAGCAGGAGAATTTTCACTGAAAAGAAGGACATAGAATAATTTGAAAAGGATATTGTAAATTAATGCTTAACCTATTTATAAAGGCAAAGGAAGAACATAATAAAAGAACAGGTCTTTATGGAAAAACGAATGAAGATTTAAGGAAAAGAAATGGAAATGAAAAATACATGTGTTAAATAAAAACAATAATTGCATTGAACAGCAGATTACAGTTGAAGAGAGGATTAGTGGTCTGGAAGTAGAATTTGAGGAAACTTCAATCATGAAACACAGAAAGATAATAGAAATTTTGAAAGTGAAATTAAGAGAGAATGCCTAATAGAATTCCCAGAAGGAGAAAACAGGGAAAATAGATATTTTGATGAACTAGTACTTTGATGATTTTCTAGAAGAGAACAAAAGTATTAATGTTAATATTGAAGAAGTATAACAAGTCCTGACATACTCATTATAAAATGTAGAATATTAGGTATAAACATAATTCTAAAGCAGTAGAGAAAAAATTACTATAAAAATAAAGGAATTATCATTAGAAAAATTCTCATCAGCAAAAACTGAGATGAGAAATAGTGAAATAATATGTTCAAAATGGCAAAAATAAACGCTGTCAACCTAGAGTTCCATACCTAGCCAAACTATTACACATTGATAAAAGTGAAATAAAACCATTTGTTGACAAAGTAGTCTGCAAAAGTCTATCCTTGCTGAAAAAATTACTAAAGGCTGTAGTTCAATAAAATGGACATTGAGCCAGAAAGAAGGAATGAAAAGAAAAAGAAATGGAGAGGCTGCAGGTCAGGGCTTCAGCAGAGTAGAAACTATTTGGAATAGGTCTATAAGAAATCAACCACCAGCCAATTCAATATGGATAAATGTCGTGAATGCTGTGGGTCCAATCAAAGATAGATGCTGTGGGGTAGCAGTGAGGAAATCCCTGAGATTAGATACTCTCATGGCTGTGTAACATCACTTTTACATAAGGGTGTCAATCCAACAATCCAGGTGAGGAAGTATTGCTAATAGTTGAGTGGTTTTCAATTTTGGCAGCTTAATGGAACTTTGAAAATTATTTTAAAATAATTAGTGGTTAGATTCTATTCCCTGAGTTTCTGATTTAATTGGTTTGGAGTGTGTCCTACCCACCAGTGTCTGTTTTGTTTTTTAAGCTCCCTAGGTGATTCTGTACAGTCAAGATTGAGAAGCATTGTAATAGATTGTCAGAGAAGTGCAGAGGTCTAGAAACTGACTTCTGCCACCAGTCAAAGCAGACGTGGTAGCCTATTCTCATCATGAGGGAGGCCATTTCACACTCACAAAAATCCCTCACTTTTTACAAGTGGTTGGCAAGCTTTTTGTGTAAAGAGCCAGATAGTAATATTTTAGGTTTTGTGGGTCAGATGGTCTTTGATGCAACTACTATTCTGCTGGTATAATGCAAAATATCCATGGAATATAGGTAAACAGATGGGCACGGCTTTGTTCCAATAAATTTTTTATTTGCAAAAGAGCCATGAGCAGGATTTGGCCTCTGGGACTTAGCTTGCCAACCTCTGTTTTCGAGTGTTAAAATACAGTTAATGAGCACAGTTAAGAACCATTGCATTCACTTTGCAGAAAGTAGCCCCACATGTGAATAGGTTAAAGAAGGGTGGAGAAGAACATATGAAGATAACATGCAATGGAGAATGAAGACCAGGCCAACCATAGACCAGGGAAGGACTCAGAGGGAAAACTCTAGTGAGTGAAAATGCACATGGAGAGAGTTAGGGTCATGGCATAAAGGGGCAGCTATAGCCAGGTTGTTACTTTTCAGTTAAGAGAATGCTAGAGAGGTTTGTTTGTTTTATATTGTCTTACATTTGTTGGGTTTCTTTTGCTTGTTTTTGCATTTAGAGGGATTGCATGTAAATGAATAGCTTGGACTTTCTTTTTAATCACATCTAGATATTTGGGGTTCAGAATAAATGTACTTCTCTTTTCAACACATTATCATCATTGTACCTGAATTGATAGATAGCTAGTGGGAAGCAGCCACATAGCAGAGGGAGATCAGCTCGGTGCTTTGTGACCACTTAGAGGGCTGGGAAAGGGAGGGTGGGAGGGAGGGAGATGCAAGAGGGAAGAGATATGGAAACATATGTATATGTGTAACTGATTCACTTTGTTATAAAGCAAAAACTAACACACCATTGTAAAGCAATTATACTCCAATAAAGACGTTAAAAAAAAAAAGAAAATCCTTTTTTATCCCTTGCCACCTTCTCCAGTACTATGTTCACATAAGAACATTTTCTTTTCTGCATATCTTGAGTAAATTTATACAAATCATTTGAATATTAAGCTTAAATTATAGTGATTGAAAGAGCAGAGAGATGGGTTTCCTGTCCAGCATAGGCTTTCAAATTTTACTTGACTTTATCCTCTTTTTCTCCTTCTCTGTCCTCATAACTGCTTGCCCAGCTTATGGAGCTGCTTAGTTATTTTAATTCCAAAACCCAATTTTTATTCACATTTTAATACTTTTGAAATTTGGTTATATCTTTAAGATCAATGAATATGTATTGAATTATTGAATCTATATTTCATGTTTTTACCCCAAAACCTGTTGTGAAGTTAGTGTATCTTCCAATTGACAGCATTGTTTTTTAAATTGAGGTATAGTTGATTTATAATGTTGTGTTAATTTCTGCTGTACAGCCAAGTGATTCAGTTACATATATATATACATTGAATCAAGGAAACATGGGATCATCTTTGCTCATGTTTTTGCCTCCATCTTTGGTACCCACTTCCAGAATTTATGAAGAGTTGCATTTCTGGAAAACAAACCTGATCTTGTCATACGAATGTCTCAAAATAATTTTCAGGGATCTCAAAATTTCAGCTCCATGGCACAGTATTCAAGGGCTTGCTATCTAAAGCCTTTCATATTCTGGCTCAAAGAACACTGTTTCCAGCCTTCTTCCCCACAACCCCTCTCTCCCCCATGTGAATTGCTTCATTCCTGATGATCAGACACATGGTGCATTATTTTAATACAAGTGTTGTAAAATCTCTGAGAAAACTTTAATAAAATGGGATTGGTGTTGAGCTGAAAATAGCTAAAAGAGGCTTTTTTCTAGTTTCATACTTTAAGATGGAAATGTATCATCATCCTTGCAAGAAAGGCTTGACTTTTTATATTAAATTGTTGAAGAAGCTTATGGAATATCTTTATTTGGAGCCTTTTAAACATAGACTAGACACTCTTCTGTTGGGGATGATTTTTAGGTACACCCATGAGAGATAAACAAGGTGAACTTTGAGGTTGTGATCAGTTCTGGGAGTTTGGGGGTGATTAATGACTGTATCTACGTGAGGCCAAAACAGCCAGATGGAAATGAAGAGAGAAATTCAGTTAGTCATCTACATGCTTTCTATATGATTCCAAAGACCTGGATATTTAACAGTTGAATGTATATACTTATTGAAATAAAACAATATATTTCACTGGTATTTTCTGCTTTGAATGTTCACGTATTGCTATAGTTTAAGCAATCTCACGAGATGAACACTTGTCTTATTCCCATCTGCCATCCAATAACGTATATCAAATTGTAATTATTAGAAAAACTAAAATGTGAGTTAAATTGAAAATGTTTCCAATTGTTTTTGTTTGGTCTGAGAATAATAATGAAGGAATAGAGTAAAATAAATTTTCTTGATGACTCTTTGGCTATTTCTTCATTTTTATAAAATGGAAATTAGGAAACGGCTTATCCATCAGATGCATATTTATATGGCTCTGTATTTTAAATTTAGGTATGTATCCTGTGCCCTGGGCTGTCCATATGAAGGAAACATCACACCGCAGAAAGTAACAGAAGTAAGATATACGCCTGGTTTTCTGGTTCATGGTAAAATGATGTGTATTATTTTAAAAAGTGGGCTGTTTTTCCTAATGTTTTTTGCATTTGCACAACTAGACCAAGGAGAACCATGGACTGGGAGGCATTTATTAGATCACTTAGATAATAGTTTTATTTTAACACTAAGGACTTAGATAGTGCCTATTACTGTCCAGAGTTAACATTTGATTCTTATCATATGGGTGTCCAAAGTTTGAGGGAATAAAAACACCTGATTTGTTTTTATGTGAATAGAACATATTGAGCAACCTTTCTACTTTCTATCAGAATTCTGGGGCGGTTTTTGCACATATACTCAAACTTTGCCTTGGTTGCTCAGGTAGTGTCCCTTTGTTGTCTCCTGCGTATTTTGGCATTTGTATCAGAGTACATACTGCTTCCATGTTTTTGTTCCTTTGAGATTCTATAGCTCTTTCTGCTGAGATTCAAGTTGCTATTATTCCAGAGCAATTTTACAGCAATTTATTATAGTCATTAAGGACCTACTTATTGAAGTTCATTTTCTACTTCCTGTTCCTTTTTCTTAATTGATACCAATGAATACAAAATGCTTGTCTTTGAAATTATATTAGACTCAGAAACTCATTTGTACATGAAATAGCATATTCTTGTGCACTGCTGTTAAGGTTAATTTTTATAAGTTTAGGGATGTGGTGCTGAAGCAGTGAAGATGGGATTGTTAGAATATCGAACTTTTGACAGGATAAACTTTGGTTTGGCTAAAGCAATTCCTGTTTTGTGTATTCATTTGAACTGCAGATGTTTCCAGTGAGAGATATACCATCATCTATTAATTAAGCAAGACAATTGCCCACAGAGGCAGATATATCAATACTATAAAATAATGAAAATTAAATATTTAAAAAATTTTATTGAAGTGTAGTTGATTTACAATGTTGCATTTAATTTCTGCTATACAGCAAAGTTACTCAGTTATACATATGTATTCTTTTTCATGTTCTTTTCCATATGGTTTATCACAGGATATTGAATATAGTTCCCTGTGCTATACAGTAGGACCTTGTTGTTTATCCATCCTATGTATAACAGTCTGCATCTTTATGAAGCTGAAATTTTGCAGTCCTTCGCTGGCATGGGACCCTTCTAAGGCTCTGTTATTAATTTGTATTCACAACTATATATCCCTTTTTTAAAAATCAGTTTACTGTTTTTATTATTTTTTTAAATTTTTATTTATTTATTTATTTATTTTTTTGGCTGTGTTGGGTCTTTGTTGCTGCACACGGGCTTTCTCTAGTTGCAGCGAGCAGGGGCTATTTTTCATTGCGGTGCACGGGCTTCTCATTGCAGTGGCTTCTCTTGTTGCAGAGCACGGGCTCTAGGCATGCGGGCTTCAGTAGCTGCAGCACGCAGGCTCAGTAGTTGTGGCTCACGGGCTCTAGAGCGCAGGCTCAGTAGTTGTGGTGTACGGGCTTAGGTGCTCCGTGGCATGTGGGATCTTCCTGGACCAGGGATCGAACCCGTGTCCCCTGAATTGGCAGGTGGATTCTTAACCACTGCGCTCCCAGGGAAGTCCTTATGTATTCTCTTCTTAAAGAACATTTCCAAAATAGTATAACTTCAGACTCCACAAAACCTGAATCCAACTCTGCCTATACACCCACCCCTTGCTTTTCTTCCTTCTGGCTTGTGCCACCTCTGGACAGACCACACACAGTCTCAGGCTCTGCATTCCTGCTCCATAATATCCAGGGTGTTGCTGAAGAGAATCCTGGAACAGGCAGATTGGAAGCATTAGGAATTCATGACCAGCGACCTTACCTGGTCTTCTGTTCCACACTACCCTGTGTGGAACAACTCCCTGTCTCCTTTCCAAAATGACTCTTGCAGACTGTGTTCCCTCTGTTGAAGCCTCTAGCCCTTCCTGTCGCTTACTCCCCTGTATATGCAACTGCAGAGCCCTTCCCACTGATACTCGAACATGTTCAAGCCTCTTCCATGTGAAAACTTCCCTTCCTTAAGTCAGCATCCCTGGCACTCTTGTAGCCCTTGGATTGCCTTGACCCCACACTTAGGATTTTCCTCCAGCCACTTGAATGGAAGCCTCATTCTTCTCTATGTGGCCATTAAGAAATTCCAGCATTTAATAGAGAGTTTTGAGGAGATTAATTATCTATGTGAGGCCAAAAACATACAGATGGAAATGAAGAGAGAAATTCAGTTAGTCATCTACATGCTTTCTATATGATTCCAAAGACCTGGATATTTAACAGTTGAATGTATGTACCTTTTTAAATAAAGGAGAAGAAAGAGGAGAATCAGTATTATGTTTTTTTTATCCAAGTGTCCATCCAATAATTGTCTCTTACCTGGACTAGGTAGCCCTTCTGAGTTCCCTTCAAACTATTTTTGATGTTGTATTGATACTGCCTTTCTGAAACATAAATCCCATTATGTCACCACTACTCCACATTTGGTCAAGGCTTTCTACTGCTCTTATGATAGACACCTCAACCAAAATCCAAAACCCGGTCAGTTTGCAAGGCTGTGTGTACTGTTTGTACGCTCTGCCCCGGGCCTTCCTCCCCAGCTTTATGGAGCCCCATTCCCCCTTGGTTTTTGCTTTCTTGTCACATCTGTCCTTTGCATCTGACCTTCCCTCCTTTTTTTTTCTTCCTTTGGCCACACCCCGTGGCATGGGGGATTCTAGTTCCCCCACCAGTGATTTAACCCGCGCCCCCTGCAGTGGAAGTGCGGAACCTCAACCACTGGACCACCAGGGAATTCCCATGACCTTCCTTCCTACTTGGAATCCCCTTAGTATTTGATATTTCAGCTGCCTGAAATTCCACCTGAAAGTTCTTCTCACACCCTTCCTCCACAACCTCTTCGACAAGTTGATGCTGACTTTATCTCAGGCTGTCACTGAGGCCCTTCCTGCTTGACAGATCTAGGTCAATTTCCTTTGCTACATGCTCTTAGAATCCTGTTTCTTTGTTCCAAAATTATTATGTTAGCTGTGTTTACACATTCCTGAGTGGAATTGATTAGGGTCTGTCCTCACTTGACTCCAGATTCCATAATACCTTGAGCCTGGACCCTTAACATCTGCATCCCCATCATATCCCAGCATCTAGGGCAGCACCTGATGTAAAATAAGCACCAAAGACACACATAAGGCATGAGTTAAGGGGTGACCATGTGTCTGATTTTGCACAAAGTGATTTTTATATATTCTCATTTTCACAACCAAACATGTCAACACTCACTTCATCATTATTATTGTGATTTTGAAAAATTAATTAGTAAGGCTTAGAAAACATGCTAAATAATGGTGTTTTATTGTTTGTATTTTACAGAATAGGGGCTGAGGCTTCAAAAGGTTCATCTTCTGCCCAGTATCACATGACTAGCATTTGTGGCAGCTGAGATTTCAATCCAGGCCTGTCTGATTCCAGAAGCCATGTCTTTGTCAACATACCATGCTGCCTTCATTAAAATTCATATTGCTCTTTGAAAGTAACATTAGTTATTTGGCTTGAAGGGAGCACAAAGTTTACCAAACTCAAGAGCATCTATTTATGAGCTAGAAAATTTAAGCCAAAAATATCAAGTGTCTGTACCGATTACAAAGCTACTTGATTGACATCTCTTGACCGCCTTGAGAAATACTAGTTCCAAAGTAAATCTGTGATGCTTCTGTTTGATTAAAGGGCTGAGAAAATAAGCCTCCCATAAATGAAATTGTAGCTTATACTTTCATAAATGAACATGTAGCTACTTAGATAGATACGATTCTGAGGCAAACTTGAATATTAGAAAAAAATAACTACAGGAATGTCATTCAAAGTTTTATATAATGCTTGGGATTTAATGAGCAAGGACAAGGACTAGAAAACTAAAATATACATTTTCCATGGATATGCAAGTTATCTTAGTTGTGATGTTTACTTCTAGATGATGTTTGCTAAGGAACAACAGGGTTTGAGTGTGTTCATTTCCATTGTTTTACTAGCTTGTCACTTTTCTTGATAGGTGTCTAAGAGATTGTATGGCATGGGCTGTTACGAGATTTCCCTGGGAGACACAATTGGAGTGGGAACTCCAGGAAGCATGAAGAGGATGCTGGAAAGTGTCATGAAAGAAATCCCACCCAGGGCTCTTGCTGTTCACTGTCATGACACATACGGACAAGCCTTAGCAAATATCCTTACGGCCCTTCAGGTATTTTGTATTATTTGTGTGTATGTATAAAGGTGTGTATACTTATTTGCCATATAAACATATTAAGAACTTTAGTGAGACAATATTTATAAATTGCTATGAATATAACTTTTTTTTTTTGAGATTCAAGTGTTGATACTTATTGGGCATCCACAGTGTTCCAAGCCCTTTGTTCACCTCTTCCATGTACGTTATTTCATTTTACCCTCACAGCAACCTTTGCAGTATACATAGCATTAACCTGTTACGTATCAGGAAACAGGATTTGGAGGTTACGTGACCTGCCCAAGATCACACAGCTACAAAGTGCTGGAGTTGAGACCAGAGACTGGGGCTTCCGACTCCATGCCAAGCCTTCTCTCCTAGTTTCCTAACATGCTGACCCAGTAAGAAATTGTTATTGTAGAAGTATACATTAATCGAGACATTGTTTGAATGCTGTGGTTAGGTTTAGAATGAAGGGAGAACATTGAATAGCTATAAATTGGTTGGTAGAAAACTAGAAGGGAGGCAGTGTGACATGACAGAAGAAAAGCTAGATTAAAAATCAAGAGACATTTAAACAGTACCTGACACATGACGTGCACTCAGGAAATATTTGTAAATGGCCCATGCTTTCCAGGGCAATGATGTCTTATTACTGTTCATTTGATTTGATAAAATCCCTGAATTTGTTCTTTTTAAAAGTATTAATCTTCTCAGAGCTATGTCTGCTTTTTTCAACTCCCACTTGCTCTCAGCCTGAAAAGTTGATAGATTGAAAAATGATGGCATTTTTGAGGAGTGCAAAGCACGGAGATAGTAGCGTGTACTGTTGTAATCATGTAACTTATGCTCCTTTGGATAATTTGGTGCTCTGTGATGAGGAGGTGTGCTGAAATACAGACTATTTTGTTTAAGATGTCTTCTTGATGTTGGCAAGCATCCTTTTGAAAGAACCCCTGGTTTTTATCAAGTATATTCTGATCAAAATCAAGAGAGCTAGAAAGTTGGAGGATTAAGAGTTGCTTATTACATTCTAATGATACCTCAGTTCTTTTTAATGTATTTATTGAAAGGAGTAGATATAAATTGCATTTTAAGGTATTTATTTTTAAATTGATGTTATTTCTTAAACTCGGATAAAAATAGATTCACTGGATGTTCTTCAAACCCAAGATTTTGACAACTAAAAATAAGAGTGTCTGAAAGCTTTTTGGTGAGGCTGAAAATCAATACATAAAGCTTAATGTCATCATCCTGCAGTGCACAGTTGTTTGGCAGAAGTTAAAAAAACCTGTGACTATCAAGCCCCACAAGGGCTTATTTGGACTTTGTAACATATGTGCACAAATCCTTATTTGTCCTCTGGAAACAGGCAAGGAACATTGTATTGAATTAGAAGAAAAAATGATATCCCATGGACTTTGGGGCGTTTTGACAATTTTCCTTCTCTATTCTAGTTTCTAAAACAATAGAGAACTAGGCATCACTTCAGGAGGATTCTGTGTTCAGCTGCAACTGTAACTTATTAAGTGTTCCTCACCAGCAAGTTCCTGGAGAGGTCTGTGTGTGTGTCTGTGTGTGTGTGTCTGTGCATCTCTCTCATTTCTCATATGGATATATCCTCTAGACGGTAACACTTGAGTCATGTTTTATTCATGTAGCATATTTATTATATAATGAGTGATAGTTTCGGGTTTTGGGATCCAGGGCTATAGTGCACATTCTGGGAACCCAAAGATCTGATTCTGGAAACTTTCTGCCTGTTGAAAATGCCCCACTGCAAAATATTGCTGTTACCCTATTGTGATTGTGACGGTTAAGGCGGTCTGAGAAAGTAAGATTTAAAATCAGATATAAAGAATGAGAAGAAAGGAACCTCAATAAGGGGTGTGTGTGTGTGTGTGTGTGTGTGTGTGTGTGTGCATGCGTTTGTGTGTGTGTATGGGCATCAATGTGTGAAAAGAATGTTCAAGCACATGAAACACCACTCGGGCAAAAGGCCTTGGAGAGGGAAGAGCATGTCCTAGGAGCTGAAAGACGACTATTATATTCAGAGGGGAACCTGAGCTTTATAACATTCGCTGAATTAGATGAACTGCAGAGTCTCCATTTACAAAGAGATGCGGACTGCAATTCTGGGGCATTTGCCCATCCATACTGTAACAGCAGTACGGGGTGGGGACAGGAAAGGACCTTGGGCCCAAGCAAGATGGGGAGCACAGGCCAGAACCTGTATAAGGCTGAGGCCCCTCACCCCGCAAAAAAAACACCACACCTTCAGTCAAAAAGGGTGAACCAGCAAAAACCACCTAACAACGGGAGAAGGCAGCAAGGATATTTATTCTAATGGCCTTGGCTATGGGTGAAGGAGAAATAGACAAGCCCCCTTTTTATGTCATAACTATTTGTTGACCTGTTGTGAGTTTAGGGTTGAAATTCACATTGCTTGCAGAATGTGAAAGACTCAAGCAGGCAAATTATTTTCAAATGGGTGTGAATTAGTAGCACCTACAGATGTCAGGAAGAATATAAATCTTTTCAGAAGGAACATATCTTCAATTTAAGCTGAATTATTTGGGGTGTGTGTGTGTGTATGTGTCTATGTGTGTATGTGTATGTGTGTGTGTTTATGTCTCTCTGTGTGTGTATGTATGCCTGTGTGTGTCTCTGTGTGTGCATGTGTATATGTGTATATGCATATGTGCGTATGCATGTGTGTGTACATGTATATGTGTATTTGTGTGTATGTGTCTATGTGTATCTGTATGTCTAGGTGTGTATGTGTGTGTGTATGTCTGTCAGGGGAAGGGCCGATATTTTGCTCTTTGGCATCTCTTGTGCTCTTTGGCACAAGTTAGCAGGAAACGTGTCCACAAGTATCTGTCATTGTGTTTTCTGTTCTTTTACTATGTGCACAAGCTCTAAGCATGTACGTGAGGTGGGAGGGCAGAAGGGAGGCGAGGGGCCTGGGAAAGTGCACTTGGAGCGTGGTGGTATTGCATTGCCCAGACCTTGACGTGTAGTGGCAGTGTAAGTGGGTGGAGGAGAGGGTAAGAGCAGCTTGTGTAAGAAGCAATATGCAGCCCGAGTGGCCAGTTTAAATGAACAATTTAACGTTGGAGTTGTAGAGTTTGTGTTTGCTGCCATCCACTTTCAAACAGTTTCATCCACTTTCATCCAGTTTGATAAGCCAGTGCCAGTGTAAGAAAAAATATACACTTCTGCTCTCTTTGAAACTGTGTGTAGCTGAGACAGTCTGTAAATGTTTGGGGAGGTGTATGCTCACACAGACAGCGGAGCATTGTCTTGGAATGTCTTTGCAGACATATGTGTACTCGTTGGTCCCTGGCAACGCTGAGTGAGGCAGAGTCCTCCAGGGCCCTTCCCAATAAAAGCAGCAGCAACAACAAAATAACCAGGATTACCTTGAGCAGAGGAGAAAAAATGTCTTAGGAAAAAAATAAAAACAAAAACCAAAACCAAACCTGTCAGTGTTTAAGTAGAAGGGAAATCAGAGAAAGTCCCACTTGGTTATGAACTAGGCTAACTCTGGCTTCAGGAAGCAGTGGCCATACTTCATTCTTTAAAATGGAATCTTTGAAGTGGCTTCTAGTCAGATTGCTGGTGCATGTGGAGTGAATATCATTTGTTTTAATTTAGGGGTTAGGAAACAGTTTACAGTGCTCCAAACTGGAAGTTAAAATGATGGCAAGGAGACATGTAGTAGGTGGAAACTTGGCCATGATGGTAGGAAACAAATGAGAGTTATAAATGGAACATCCCCCTCAGTCTGGAAAGCACATACTAATAATGTAATAGAAGGATCATTCTTGGGTTCCCAGGTTTATTGTATTTTTTTTTATTACTTAAACATATGACTTATAGGGCAGTACATGGTTGTATGGGAGTCAAGAATTCATAATTATCAGATATTCCTTACTATAGAGAAATAATTGACACTATAGATTTGAGTGGGGGATATTTATAACCACCCAAACCCAAAAGAGCAAGAAAATGAGGTGACAAAACGTACAGCATTTCAGTAATGGAAGAAACGTACATGGCCCAATATACTTGTCTTAATTTTTTATGTAAAAATTGAGTCTCACCCTTTTGCATATTCCCAAGTACCTAAGTAAAACACCAGTGAACAAATTACTTAATCTACTTAACACTAAACAATTGCACAGTCTCTGTTTTTCTTCACTCAAATGATCTGAGTCTTCATAACTGGGTAAAAACAGAGTAAAACAAATGAGTTCCAATATCACAAGTAACAGTACCCCATTAACTGGTAGCAAAGAGAGTAGAACAGGCAATATTTAGCTTTCCCCTAAAGAAATACCGTGTGCCTTTTTCTTCTCTTACACTTAATAGACATTTAGCTAATGTGTCTTTCCTCATGATGTTTTCCATATGTTTAGTATTCTCTTTTAGAAGAACCAAATCATTTACCTAATTTTTACAACAAAGCATTCATTTCTTTATACTGACTCCTGCTAAACCACATTTAAATGCTACCAAACAATTTCCTCATGTAATTTGTTTTTGAGGTTCTCAAAGAAAATTTTTAGAATTCCAAATTCTCTTCTCAATTCTATACCTATAGAATGTGTACAATGATGTCTATGTCCTCAGATTTTACAAAACTGAGATGAGGTGCAGAGTTTCTAGAACATTTGTCTTGGTGACTGCATTTGGTTGATACTTCATACTATTACCGTCATTACAGTTAAAACTATTACTACTGCTGATATACTAATAGCAATAATATTATAACCTTTATTACTCAAGGAGCCAGAGGCATAAAGCATTGCTTTGCAAAGGTGTAAATTTGTAAATACATGAATTAGATATTATTCATTTATTCAACATCTATTAAAGAGCTAAATAGAAATCAGCAAGCAAGAAAGAAAACAAAAAGTTGAAAACTGGATGCTCCTACATAGGTTTTACGAAATGCATCGCTAATTTATTCAACAAATATTCATTTTATCAGACACTGTCTTAGATGT